GTTACTAATTCGCTCGTCGACTTATTTTTGCTGCTAATTCACATTTCTTAAACTTTGCTTCAAATGAAAATGTCTGTTTTTTTTTTCATTAATTCACTCGTCATAAATTTTTTCTTTTTTGCTAATTCACGCATTGATTTTCCTTCTATTTGCTGCTACTGCTCACGTCGATTTCTTTTGCGGCGGACTCACGTATTTTCATTAATACTTAATATAAAAATAGTTTTTAACAAATATATTTGTCAAGAGTGGGTATTGACCGTTTGGTTATATAAACATTAATAACGATTCATTTAATTGATAATTTAGGTGATGAATATTTTAGCAGATATTAGCTCTTTATAAATATATTTTACTCTAGAGGGCGATGTCCATTTAATTTATTTAATGTTTTTATTCTTGCCTTTTACGAAGATTCGCCATTGACTTCTAAAAGTCAGTTTGACAGATTGAAGGATAGGCAATCCTGCAATATATTTCCGTACAAGTTAAAAATAAAGATAACTAAAAAATGAATGAATAAATAAAAAGTAAAAAGGAATCTGGCAAGAACTTTGGCTGTCATTTTAAGGAGGCACCTTTTCCTTATACTGAAACGAGTTTCCTTAAAGTTAGTGTATTCTTGATTTCAGATGAAATCCTAGAATTTTTCGAGGAAGAAATGGGTAAGAAAGGGATTGTCAGTGGTCAGGAATGAAGGCAAGAATTACTGATAGAATAAGGCTATTATATGTATAATGGAAATGCATTGCTGATGATTTTACTATAGGAATGCATTGAAAATGAGGAAGAAAGGGATTGTCAATGGTCAGGAATAAAAGAGCATCATTACTAATAAGAAGAGCAAATATTATATTATAATGAAAATGCATTAACATAATGATTTTACTATAGGAATGCATTGAAAAATGAGGAAGAAAGGGATTGTCAGTGGTTGGAATGAAGGCAAGCATTACTGATAGAATAGGGCTATTATATGTATAATGGAAATGCATTGCTAAATGATTTTACGATAGGAATGCATTGAAAATTAGGAAGAAAGGGATTGTCAATGGTCAACAAATGAATATAAAGCATTACTTATAGAATTAAAAGGCTATTATATGTATAATGAAAATGCATTTCTAATGATTTTACTATAGGAATGCATTGATGACTAATGAAATAAAAGGGATTGTCAGTGTCAGGAAAAAATAAAGCATATAATGATAGAATAGGGCAATTATATATATTTATGGAAATGCATTGCTAATGATTTAAATAAACATTTATTTTAAAACATTATTTGTATATTTCTGTACGTCTGTGCAAAACCTGTGATGGATGTGCCTTGACAAAGAAGAAGAATCCCTTTTAATGTTTACCATTTTTTGTTTAGCATTCCCAAAGAGGATTAGCAGTCCAGTTTTCAGTTAAAGCGATGTTTGAAGAATAATATTTTTCTCCTGGGAAATAATTATTCTGTTTTATCCTATAATCCATATAGAAGTCAAAAGGAAAGGATTATCCACTCCTTCTTAAAGATTAAGGAATTTAACATCGTTTATAATATCTAATGACAGATTGACTTAGACATGGTTATGTCTCTAACTTTATAAAAATTAAGATTTTTGTTAATAATAAAAACTGTTTTTTGCAAATATAAAGAAATAATTCAAAAAAGTACTCTTCTGTTAAAATAGGGAGTACCCGAATAATATTCAGTGAGCATTAGTGACTGGTTGAGATATTTATATATATATATATATATATATATATATATATATATATATATATATATATATTAAAAATGTTCTTCTTTAGCTTTTAAGAAAAAAAATAGTGCTCAATATGACCATATCTATTTTGGATATATTATTCAAAAAAAGGAAGAATCATGCAGTAGGCTGGTGTTTTACAGAAAACGTAGATTGTTGCTAACCAAGATTAAATATACGGTCTAGTGTTCGTTGTCATTTAACCAATTTTTAATGTTTAGAGATGGATTCTTGCCATTCCAAAGGCTATTTGCAGGTAAATGAACTCTACGATCGCGATTGAAATTGACTTCTTCATATTTTCAAAAAATAGATATATATTATATATTTATATATATATCCATATATATATATATGTTATTATAAGCGGTCACCCATCTAAGAGATTTTTTCTCTGACCAAGCTGAACGTTTCTTAACTTTGGTGAATCTAGTAAGAACTAGTGTTTCAACATTTTTTTTATATTGCAACTTATCTAGGTATTTTCCACTGACATTTTTACGTAACAATTGTAGCGTTTATCATACTTATAATATCACCGAAGAAATATATACGTATATTTAATATTTGTGATCGTGGTGTCTTTTTAAAGTGACATTTTCAACATTTTGCAACTAGTTGGGTTAAAGTTTGTATTTTCTTGATTTCAGATGACAGCTTTGACTTTTTCCAAAACTAATTCAAAATTTAATAAAAAAATTAAAGAAAATAATCCTCAAAATTGAAAAAAAGAATTGGAGAATTAAAGACTCATTTATTAGTGCCTATGGATGGCAGAACGTGAAAAGTACAATCATAAAATTGAAATGCGAAAGCTTTTTTGAATTGATTTAAATGTATGTTTTATTATAACCTGTTAATTAAAAAATATATATATATATATATATATATATATATATATATGTATATAAAATATATATATATATATTTCAAATTCATTGTTTTCAAAAAATATTAATTAAGCAAATGATTAAAGGCAATGAATGTGTGTTAGAAGGATTAGTTTCTGCCTAAAAACAAATTTATATATATATATATATATATATATATATATATTCAATTTAACAACACACACACACACACACATTACATATATATATATATATATATATATATATATCTATATATATATATATAGTTTATGAAAAACTAGGTAATCCGTATGGGTAAACCTAAGGAGGATAAAATCCAGAGAGCTCAATGTAAATCCAGAGCAAATAATTTAAATAAAAACAGACCACTTTAAGGTTCCATGTAATAAATTATTTCACCACAGCCCTTTTAAAGGACTGCGGATCATCAGACTTTACTTCCAAACAAAAAATGAAAAGAAAATTTACACATTTTTGACGGGCCGTATTAAACATATGTAAATTAACGAAGTGAGGAAGTGAGGGGGGAGAGAGAGAATGTTAAATTTAATATTTATCTTAACATGAAGTGAGTTAGCAGATATTGACACATTTAAACGGTTAACTTAACGGAAGTTATATATTGATATCGAAGGGTAGATTTAAAAAAACTCATAGAGAGAAAAAGAGAGAAGGAAGTTAAGAGAGAAGATCAAGAGAATTTTATAAAACTAATTTTTTTTGTAAAAAGCTTTATTTGAATTATGTTATTTTGGGGTTCATTAAAGATTATAATTTATATATTTATATATATATATATATATAAATATATATATATATATATATATATTGATATTCGGTTTTCAAGTATTTCTGGGGATTTCAAATCCAGCGAAACAGTACTGTAAAATGAATGACATAATTTATATTATTTAAAAATATATTTTCAATGAAAAAGCACTGTTGAATGACAAGGTAATTCTAAAAACAACGGCCACCTGCGTAAATGCTAAGCTCTTCAATAAAATGAATGGAACACTTTGGCTGCTTGGCGTTTTTTTACTTTTGTAAAAACAATACGATAGATTTGGCTTACTCATTCTATCGAATGAAGATGGCTCAGTGGTAGAATCTCTGACTGACATCAAATCGGTTGGGTTTCGATCCGGGCTTGAGGCATTCGGTTGTCTAGTGGCACTGAGAAGCTGTAATGCAGAGTAACAGTAATGTCTGCGAATGAGACACACACACACATATATATATATATATATATATATACACGGCCAGGCATGAAACAGCCTGTCACCTCCGAGTGTTGACTTCAATGTTCACTTTTATACATATATATATATGTGTGTGTTTGTGTGTTCGCATGTGGAGAGAGAGAGAGAGAGAGACTGAGAAAAGTCATAATTTGATTTTAGAAGCAAAAATAAAAAAAGGAGGAGCAATATTGGCTGAAAACACTATCAAAATTTCGTTTAGGATTGGGTTTCCGGCTCTTTTCTAGATTCTTCTCGTTCTCTTTTACTCTGTGGCGAACGACTGCTAGTACTTCAAAATGAAAAAAACGAGAGTCACGTGCCGACATGTCCAGATACGGACTTCTCGGCAAATTGTTCAAATTAAAATTTTTGTCAACTGTCTCATGTCAATAAAAGCGACGGGAAAACCAGGAATAAGCAGTTGACAACATTCGGTGTCTTCTGAAAAACTGAAGACGTCCCCTTGGCGTATTTTGTTCCGGAAGATGCGCGTTTTTGTGAGGTAGTGGTCCCACTAGTTCTTGCTGGGGTTTTTTTTTTTCCTTACGTCTAAAACCTTTCTCTATCTGTCACCCCTTAATTCTAAAGATTCTGATTCATTGATTTGTTTTTTTTTTAACGGCATATCGACTTCTTAATGTTTCATTTAATGCCAATATTTAGTTGAAATATTTTGAACATAATTTCATGGTTCGATTCCTGTCGGAGGACGCATATTTTCTATGAAAATTTCTCGGACATTCAGGCCGGAAAATATCGTTAATACTGTTTATTATAAAAAATTTACTTAAATATTTGTATCTATAAAAAGAACGTATAAAACATAAAAAAATGTCTTAAAATAATTACTTTGGGCTTTGTCCATTTCATAATATATATATATATATATATATATATATATATATATATATATATATATATATATATATAATAAAATTTTTTTTTATCTAGTTACACAGCTTCTACAAATGATGCGTCGACTTAGTAAGTACAAAAACAAAAGAATCTGTAGACATTTAAAGATATATTGCAATGGCGGAATCTGAAACAGCTCTTATCTGTGGTTTACACTCATCTTCATTAAGTTCTAAAATGCACCTAGTAAATGTAATCGGTTGAAAATGACCTTATTGGCTGAACGAAGCCATTTTTATGATTGGCATAAAATAGAAGCACAATTTAACACTTCGAATATTGGTGCTGAGGACAAAATAATTTTCATACGAGATCGATTCGCTAAAATCAGATATAGACCAAGAAGTTAAGAGAATTTGCGAAGTTTTATTCCTGGAGATAGTCGCTACTCGAAATTTTTCTATTGGAGGGGAAGATATGAGGAGACATAGATAGATAGATAGATAGATAGATAGATAGATAGATAGATAGATAGATAGATAGATAGATAGATAGATGTAGATATGAAGAAAATTAGATAGATAGATACATAGAAAGAAAGATATAAGCAGACAAAAACTTATGTACAAACTGAGATAGATATGAAGAAACTGATATAGATAGATAGATAGATAGATAGATACTAAGACATAAGAACAGACTGAAATAGATAGAGAGAAAGAAAGAAGAAAGAAAGAAAGATATGAACAGACTAAAACATATGAACAGACTGAGATAGATAGATAGATAGATAGATAGATAGATAGATAGATAGATAGATAGATATGAGCAGACTAAAACATATGAACAGACTTAGAAAGATAGATAGTTAGATAGATATGAACAGACTGGCATAAGAAGAGACTGAAATAGATAGAAAGAAAGAAAGAAAAAAGAAAGAAAGATATGAGCAGACTAAAACATATGAACAGACTGATATATATATATATATATATATATATATATATATATATATATATATATATATATATGAATATATATATATATATATAGATAGATAGATAGAAAGATAGATGATAGATAGATATGAGCAGACTAAAATATATGAACTTTTTGGAAGCCATAGATGAATCGATAATGACATTTTTAGGATCGATTCGTATGAATGGAATATATATTCTTTATAAGAAATCAGTTTGTAAATTAGGGTTTGGGCTAATTTTGTTTTACGGCATATCAACAACTCAATGGGTTATTTATTGCCGACAAGATTTTTCGTATAGGTTTGTATGAATAGAATATATATTCTTTGTAAGAAATCAATTTGTAGATCAAGTTTCATTGACGTATTTTTGTGTAATGTGGGTTTTTGCCGAGAATCAAATGTATTGCTGGTAATAATATTTATTTTAAATGCATTGCTGGTATATTTACTATAAAAAATGTATTTTTTTAATACTTTCATAGGGTTTTGGCCCTAGTTTGGGGTTTAATTATTTGCCCATAGCTGGGACCTTTACAGGAGCTACCAACACCGGGTCAGGGCGGACCTGGGAACAACTGTTAATTAAATGGTGGTATCATGCTCTTCAAAAAATCTCCCGGTCCGTGGCCTTGATGCCGGATGTAGTTTATCGTCATACCCAGGACAAACGGGATTATTTTATGTCTACCAGAACAGGAAATGAGAAGAATTGTAAGAATAAAATAAATTTTAAGAGCTACAGAGGGGGGAAGATATTGAGAGCCGTGTTCTTCAACATCCTGAATGGAATGTCACGTAGAGTAAGAAGTTTTCAGTGAATGTTTTTATATCGAATTGTCACTAAAGTTCTGTTTGTGTTGATACATGACATATTAAGACCCTGGGATTTAGTATGGGAGTATACATATTTTTTCTTAATATTCTGATTCGATTGCCCACAGTTCAATGAGCAGTTCATGGAACTTTCGCGTAGCATGCGAAAAAAGAACGGCGTGTTTAATTTGAGCAAAGACGGGCTTAAATATCTCTCTCCGATTTTAGGCTTTTAATAGATTGTTACTTGTTCTTTTTAGATGTCAGCATTAAAGCAAGTATTTCCAGCAGACTTTCCGAATCTGTCACGCGGACACACGGAAAGAGGCTTTCAAAAATACGCAAAGTGCCCGGCGACCGTTTTTATTTTTGCGTATCTGTTAATATGTGGTTGCAAAACAGATAAAGAGAGAAGAGAGAGAGAGAGAGAGAGAGAGAGAGAGAGAAAGAGAGAGAGACAGAGAGAGAGAGAGAGAGAGAGAGAGAGAGAGAGAGAAAAGCCCTAAAGACTCCATTTTTCTTTCATCAAAAATTTTACGACCAAAGAAGAAATTTAAACCTTTTTAATATGTCATTTTTGGCAACATGAATCTGTAAATAATTAAAAGTTGATTCCATACACATGCAGCATGCGTTGGATAAATTGTCGTCTAAATGAGGCCGAAATGAAAATAACACTGGCATCTCATTTGAACAGATATACAGGAGGCTAGGGATAAATTGTCGTTTAAATGAGGCCGAAATGAAAATAACACTGGCATCATTTTTGAACAGATATACAGGGGGCGAGGGATAAATTGTCGTTTAAATGAGGCCGAAATGAAAATAACACTGGCATCTCATTTGAACAGATATACAGGGGGCGATGGAAAAAACTGTCATCTAAATTAAGCAAAAATAAAAATAACACTGACATCCCATTTTAAACGATGTATTTACCAAAATTACACACAAAATATCTTGAAAATTAAATTTATTCAATAAAAAATTGCCATTAAACACTGCCTCCAGACGACTTCGGAATCTCCTACAACTCTTCTAGACGGTCTCCGTGTTTAAGTTGGAGAATGCTGCCATAATCCTTGCCTTCTGTTCATCTTTGGTGTTACAGGGAGTTTTGTTGGTTTCTTGCTCAACTGCGCCCCACACATATTAATCAAGGGGGTTGCAGTCTGGGGAGTTAGCTGGCCAGATTTAAGAGGTGATGCGGTTACAGGAATTGTTTGACAGCCATTACCTGGTTATCTCGCTTGTGTGGCATGGTTCAGCGTCCTGCTACCAGACATAGGTTCTTCCAGCTACCCCACTCTTGATCCAGAGTAGCCCTACAAGCCACTTGATGTAGGACGCCGTGTTGAGTCTGAGGCCCTTATCAACAAATTCAGGAATTATTTTCTTATCAGGGCGATGAGAGTGAGCTTTCCCAGGAGCGGTGACTTCTTAATCAAAATTAATTTCGAATTCTCTGCACTGTCCTCAGCTTTACACCCTGATACTCTGAAATCTTCGTATTAAAGCTTTCGGCGCGAATGCCAACCAGTAAAGCCGGTTCTTTTCAAAATTCTAGTTGACTAAATTGCATCAATTTTTTTACAAGCGGTGCCTAACTGACTCTTATATACCGTGCTGTTGACAAAATCAAAAATAAACAACGTGCATATTCAAAATTAGGAATAAAAAATGGCAACAATTGACCCAAAGTTTGATAATATATCCAGTGAACATCATGGTGTTTGGAGTGATCACGTGTAATGCCGAAGTTATGCCGACATTCGTCTTCCCACAGGGCCTCATTCTTAACACTACGCCCTACATCAAGTGCATTGAGGTTTGCTTTGTTTAGTTTTACGGCACATCAACCTCAATGGGTCATTTAATGCCGACAACTTTTTTTTTTCCTGGTAATATTTTTGTTTTGTCAAAAATCTATTTCTGGTAATATTTTTTTCCTCAAAAATGTATAGCTGGTAATATTATTTTTGTTCAAAAACTTATAGCTGGTAATATTATTTTTTCAAAAACGTATAGCTGGTAATATTTTTTTTCAAAAACGTATAGCTGGTAATATTATTTTTTTTTCAAAAACGTATAGCTGGTAATAATACTTTTTTTCAAAAACGTATAGCTGGTAATATTTTTTTTTTTTCAAAAACTTATAGCTGGTAATAATATTTTTTCAAAAGCGTATTGCTGGTAATAGCTTTTTCTAAAAACGTATTGCTGGTAATATTTTCTTTTCTTCAAAAAATTATTTCTGGTAATAATTTTTTACAAAGTATTTCTGATATTAAAACCTATTTTTACACTTTTATAATGCTTTTTACCTCAGTTTCGGGGTTAACTATTTGCCCATAGCTGGGACCCTAACAGGTGCTACCACCTCGGGTCAGGGTGGACCTGGGAAGACCAGCAATTAAGAGGTGGTTCTATGTTCCTCAAAGCCTCCTGATCCGAAGCCTTGCTGTTGGAAATAGTTTACCGTCTTACCCAGGACGGCAAGTGCATTGAGGAGGTAGTGCTGCCCTGTGCCAAGAGTAAGGCCGCTAGAGATCCTATGTCTGCACGATGCCACACCATGCCACTGTAATGTCATCTCCGAAGAAATGCAGGAAATTCCGAAGTCGTTTGATCTTACATTTATTTGAAGTAAAAATGGCGATTGTATTGAATAAAATTTTATTTTCGTTTTTTGAAGCTATAGTGTGTAAAGTTTGGAAAAATATATCTTTTAAAATGAGAACTGAAGTGTTTTTTTTTTTTTTTTTTTTTGCATCAGGGTGATGAAAATTTATCCATCGCACCCTTTATATAAGGTTAAACGGAAATCTGTAATCTTAGATGGCAACAAATCAAAGAAAAAAAGAATTAAGAGGGTAACCAGAAACTATTTCCAGAGAATGTCTAGCAATAACAAATAAAAGGAAGCTGCGGAGGGCTATGAATATTGAAGGAGGATAGCATAAATAACACCTAGTAACGAGACAGTAAAAATAAATTACAGAAAATGATGAAAAAGAGACAGTAAGTTTTCCTGTTTGGTGAGCAGCGGACAATACTTAATCGACCCGGTAAATATTTTATCAAAAAACCGGTAAAAATTTGGCTGGAAATTTCGTCAGGAAATTATTTATTTTATATGTGTTCATATTATCCAATATCCTCTGTTAAGAAAATATTGCATTCGATGAAGAATTCACCAAGCCGAGAATGATACTACAAGCCACTTAAAGACAAAATAACTGCCATCATTTTTTAGTAGTAGTATTAGTAGTAGAAGCTAGCAAGTGTTTTAGAAGATGACAGGGCGATACTGAAATACTAAGGTGCCAAAGATATTTTCCAAAAGCTAAGCAGATTATTAAGAACCAGGAAAACATCGTTAGAATCAAAGGAAAGATTACGGAATTCTTACGTCATCTCAGTCCTCCTGTATGGCAGTGATTGCTGGGCAATCTTCTCAAAAATGAAAAAAAAAAGGTTGAGCCTTGAAGCAACAGAAATGTTGTTCTACAGAAGGATGCTGAGGATACCATAGTCAAAATATGAGCGTAACGACGAAGTTCGAGCTTATGATTGACATCAGGAAGAGAGTGTTGAAATTTCTATAGCGCATAAGGAGGAAGGAAGGCTTGGAAAATCTGATGCTCGCAGGGCAGATTGAAGGCAAGCGGGACAGAGGAAAACGATGGCATGACATAATTAGTCAGCTTGACTAAATGCGCGGCGGAAAAGGTTTGGGGAGAAATAACAAAAAGACAAAAGTTATCAAGAGCTACGAAAGAAAGGAAATTGTAGAGAGCCATGATCGAAAACATCCTGAGGAGACACGGCTCACGAAGAAGCAATTTACCTATCTGTTGTGGTACGATCCACCTAATTTACATAAGTGGTGTACCGACCATATAAATATGGGTTGGTACCGGGAAGACGGGGGAGGAAGAAGAGATCCAATCCAGATACTCTGCCCGACTGCGACTAAGTCAACCCATTCTACAGGAACGGTCTTCCCAAGAATATACCAAACTATCTGTAAATATTGTGTACACGATCTTGTTTCAATACATTTTGTTTAAGTACATTTTGTGTTGTATTATTATTATTCCATGCTTTATTCAAGTTTCAACACTATCAAAAATGATTATTTATTTTAGGTCTACGATCGGCGTAGCATCTGCCCCATAAAAACTGTTAATAATAATAATAATAACAACAATCGAAAATGTGGCATATGGGAACATCAACAATCCCTGTTGTAGTTGGAGCCCTAGGACTGGTTGGAAAAGATTCCAGTAGACTAATTGAAGGGATTCCTGGAAGTCCATGCCTCAAGGAGAGAGAAAAAATTGTTCTGACAAATTACAGCCCCACTTTTTAAGAAGGGCTTTATCTATTTAATTTTTTTTTTTTTTTTTTTGAAAATAAAAGAAAAAATGATGCCATTTCTAACCTTAGGTCCCTGGGCGGGACCCGGAAAGAAATGTGTAAACGCCAGAAATCAAAGGAAATAATAATAATAATAATAATACCTCCGAAAACCTTTTATGGAGATATGACCTGTAATAATTTTATGGGACTACACAATACACACAAACAGAAGAATCAAAGCCAATCGCCCTAATATCGTTATTAGAGACGGCAAACCAAACAATTGCCTTCTTATTGATATGGCAGTCCCTGCAGACTGCAATGTATCTTTGAAGATCCTTAAAAAGCTATCAAAATACAAGGACCTTGAAATAGAAATTTCAGAAATGTGGCACATGGGGACATCAACAATCTTGGTTGTAGTTGGAGCCCTCGGATTGATTGGAAAATATTCCAATAGATTCATTGAAGGGATTCCTTGTAGACCTAAACCTAAAGAAATACAAAAGTATTGTACTCACAAGTACAGCTCACACATTACGAAGAGCTTTATCTATGTAAAATAGATGAGATTTTTTTCAATTGCTCAAAGGAAAATATCATGATGTCATTTATCACCTTAATTGCACCTGATGAGTTCTTTCGCTGGTTTCATGAAGGAAAGAATTTTACGAGACTGGCATCCCGCTCTCATATATTTTTTCACTGTTGAAACTGTTAAACCCAAATCTCTTCTACTCCAATAGCTTCATGTCACGCAAATCTCACCTGTGGAACTCCCTTCCCTTTTTTTGTTTCCCTGATACCTATAATCTCCAACTATTCAAATGTAATGTCAATCGACGTCTCCAGTTGAATTTGATCTATCCACTATCCTTCTACTCATCCTTTCCTCTCACTCCTATCCGCTCAAACTCCAAATCTTATGTTTTAAGCAGTAACTAGTGGCTTCCCGCCTTGCTTGGGGTGAAATGCTTAAAAAAATAAGTCTCCGGATGGGACCAGGAAAGAAATTAACCCAATTTACCTGCCAAAGCACTTCCTCATGATGGCAACTTTTCCAGGCCAAAATTATCAAGAAGTTCACATCATTGATAAATTGAGAATTATTAAATTCGAACTCGTTTTAATGGGATAAGAAAAAAAATTGAACATTCACAGGAACGATTAAACATACACATATATATCAATATTTTGTATGTATATATGTATGTATAAAAAAATATTTCATAATTGTTGACAAAGATAAGACATTTTCATATCTAGCTATGTCTCTTTCATTGACCCAGCATCCATCTATCTATATTTATCTATCTATTATCTATCTCATCTTATCTTATGAAAAAATTATCCATCTATACATCTATATATCCCATAAGTTCACATTCATCTATCATCTCATCTATATCTATCTATCTATCTATATATCTATCGTCTTCTTTCGTTATCATTCCATTCATCATCTAACTATCTATCACATCACATCATATTTACCATTATTAATATATCTATAATTTATCCATTATCTATCTATACATGCCATTAAAATAAAGGAATCTATCTATCTATCTATCTCCGTATCTTATTTATCTATCTATCTCACATACCGTTCATATATAAATTATATCTATCTATCTATCTAAAAAATCTATCTATCTAAATATTATCAATACCGTTCATATTCATCTATCTATGTTTCACATGCCGAATAAAAAGTAATTGAAATCTATCATATATATCTATCTATGGAATATATATATCTATCTATTATTTCGTTCTTCGTTATCTATCTATCTATCTATCTCACATACTGTTCATATTTATTTCAGAAATTCATCTATCTATCTATCTATCTATCTATCTATCATTATACCGTTCATATCTATCTATCTATCTATCTATCTATCTCACATGCCATTCATATTTGAAAACAATCTATTATCTATCTATCTATCTATTTATCTATTTCAATGCCGTTCATATTCTATCTATCTATATATTCTATCTATCTATATATCTATCTATTTATTTATCTATCATACTGTTTATAATATCTATCTATATCTATCTATCTATCTATCTATCTATCTATCTCACATACCGTTCATATCTATCTATCTATTTATCTATCTATCTATCTGTTTCGTTATGTTCACATCTTTATCAGTTTTTCATATCTAGCTTTCTCTCCATCAGTGCATCCTATTTATTTTTTCTTTCTAATAATTTCTTTTTTTTCTTTCTTTCTTTCTTTCTTTCTTTCTTTCTTTAATATATGAATTAATATATTTGAAAGCTGCAAGTCTCAGGAAAAAAAAAAAATTGAAAAAAAAAATAAATTTAAAAACACAAAACAATTAAATTTGACATAATCTTAAAATAACTTCCAAAAAAACGTTTACACGAAAACAAAAAACAAAACAAAAAAAAAACAAAAAAACATTAACATTTATTATTAATTAACCGGGAAACGCCTTATCGTATTTGATGTCGACACGACTGATTGCCTTTTGTCCTACGATAATATTCTCTCGAATCATATATGATAACGGACCCTACTCCCAGAGAATGGTGAAACGCAGTTTGATCTTCCCAGATGTGAGACTAACCTCGACTGGGAAAAAAAATTTCCTTGTAATTAACCATCGTTATATTTGATCCTTTTTCTCTGACGTCATTGGTTCGTTTGAATCGTCCTTGTGTGAATACATGAAGATAAGAAGATTTTAGTGACAATATCTTTGAAAATTACGAAATATCCCCGGCCCTTCTCTTCCATTTTGTTGTAAAGCTTGTTATTATTAATCCCGATCATTACTGTTTCTTATATAGCACATATCGTTTTCCGGCATCTTGGCTGTGATTAAAGCTTTGTATTTGTCCCCTCTTTATTTTAGAAGCGATAAGGTCCCAGTGATTCCGACCCTGCGATTAGAACCTAAGAGAATTGCTATCGGTGTAACATCGACGTCAGTGTGACAGTGGTCTTTGTGGTATTGAGCAACTCTTGTCATTGGCCCATATGCATATACATCTACATACATGGTGTCCATAAAGTTCATGTGCACCTAAAAAAATTTATAACTTTATTTGTATTTGCGATAAAAATAATTTGTAAAAAGGATTAGAAAGAAGTAAATCTATATTTTTTAAGGTTTCATTGAAATTTTATTTAACTTTCAACATGCCCTCCATCATTAGTAATACAAAGGGTAATACGATTTTGCAGTTCACGGATTCATTTGCCAACTGATTTACAGTAATGCCTGAAATCACATTAGTTATTTTAGCTATACTTAAAACTAGGTACATTAAACTTTATAACATTTTTTACAGATTATTTCTATCACAAATACAAATAAAGTTATAAATTTTTTAAAGTGCAACAAAACTTTATGACACAATATATATATATAAAATATATATATATATATAAATATATATAGTTGGGAGGTCAGCTAAAAACTTTCTCAGTTTTTTGGCTTGGATGAAAGCATAGTATCTCTTCTCTTCTTATTTTAGAAGCAGGATTTCCAATCTATTAAAAGTAAATCCAAAATCTACTAAAAGTGGGGACCATATTATAATGTTGATTTTATATATATGTTATATATTGGATATCAGATGTATGTTTTTTTCCTTAAACGATAAACATACATACGGTCACCATTTTATAAAGGGACGACCAGAAAACAAAAAATTTTTTGATGGGAATTTCAGGTAAATAACATCTTGAGATTTATTCACTGGGATGAAAGCTAAGTAAATAAACTCTCCTTATGTTTGAATATCGTTTGAGGAAGACCTTTGACCTTATATGTACAAATTAGATACCTGAACAAAAATCGGAATCAAAAAAATTAGCATAAACAGAAAATGGCTAAAAAAACAGGGCGAAAAGGTGTCCTGAACGGAAAGAAGTTTTATTTATTTTTGCGTGGGCGCATGAATGAAGAGACGTTTTGGCCTTGTGAAAAATTTGCGTATGCCAAAATTTATAAAAAACGGTCCACCTTTTTAAAAAGAGATCTGGTTAGAGTCTCATAGAATATTTGTCTCCGCCACAAAAATGTGTGAACACATTATTTATATTTATTTTACAATATTTTTATTGAAACCCAATTTAGAATTTAAATATTTAAATATTTTATATTGTGGATTCCGGGATGAAATATATATCTAAAAATGAATGTAAACGAGAATGAAATATAGCAAATAAAAATGTATTTACACAATAATACAATTGATAATGTTTTAGGGAGTAAATCCAGAAACAGAAATGTTTATTTAATATATAATAATTATAATATATATATATATATATATATATATATATATATATATATATATATATATATATATTTTATATATGAATATATATATAAAATATGTGTATTTATTTAAAAAAAATTGTTTTAAAAATTTGAAAATTTTTGATTCTAAATTTTTTATTGAGAAGTTAGAAATATTTAGTTAATATATTTAATTAAAACGAATAATTTTTATTTAATAAATAAAAAATACGAAATATTTTTTGGGGAAAGATGGAATTTGAGGAAAATTAATTTTATTACAATTTAAATTATATTTCGAATTTTTATATTGAAATTATATAGGATCTTATTTATAAACATGAGACTTCTTATGTCGCGATTTGACAAAATATATATTTTAAATAAATAATTATATTTATGCTCTACTTTTGTATCGAGCACTATTTTAAAAAATAATAAAAAAAAATACTAAAAGAACTTTGGATTATTTACCTAACCAGTTCTTTTTATTTTTATATATTTTTCACACACACACACACACACACAATATATATATATATATATATATATATATATATATATATATACACACATATCTAAACATAAATCTTTTTTAGATTCTACGTGCTATTAACTAAACTTCTACAAAAGGTTATTTGAATAAGCTGACTATCTACCTCCAACTCCAAGTTTTAATAATCACTATTCTCCATTATATCTATCCCTCTCTCTATATTTTGATTGACTCTGGACAATTTAACGGCAGCAGGGTCGATTTCTGGTCGAGATAACTTATATGAAAAAGGGATTTATATATAACATTATATTTAAGTGTCCGTCGCCTTATTGAGCCCAGTAGAAATATGCAACTTTTTTTAGATTAGAGAAAATGTTAGGCCCAGGTGATTCTAACCTTGTAGTAGCACCTCCCTAAATGAACGTAGAGATTTGGGATGGGTGTAATATCGATAAAAGCATGACAGGGATCGGGAAGATTGAGCAAATTTCGTCCTTAGTGTATATGCATAGATACAGATACCCCACAGTAAATAACCCATCATGTATGAAATCCTGCACTCCTGTGGACTTCAGGTAAATATCTGTTCCCTTCTTATTTTGGATTAGAGAAGGGGGTTGCTCCCGGGGTTTCCAGGCATTCAGCAGCACCTTCATCAATTCACCAAAATAATAATATTGAGGAAAACGCGATAGGGGTCAGTACTGATAACATTGCAGCTTCCTCTTTGGATTTTATCAAGAATCTCTGGAAGCAAGTTCACGTGTGAGAGTAATATTCAATATTTGTTACTATATAATCGGGTATCTGTTGACAGGAAACCATTTGGGAACTGTTAATAGCTGTTTAGCATAGTCACAGGTCAAATGTCCGACGGCTTGGGAAAAGCTGGCATTTTTTTAAAATTGGTGATTATACATCTTTCCCAGAAACTGTAACTAACATCTGTTCAGAATAGTTTCAGTATAAGATTGTTTAAATGTTTGGTTGCAGCTGAAATATACATCTTATCTATCTATCTATCTATCTATCTATCTATCTATCTATCTATCTATCTATCTATAAGTCTGTTTCTATCTATCTATCCATGTTCATTATCTATTCATCCATCTATCTATCTATCTAAGATTGTTATACATCTATCTGAACATCTATCTATCTATGGTAAGGATCTCAAACATCTATCTATCAGGAATCTATCTATCTATTAAATTTGCAATGAAAATCCATAGATATCCATGTTCATTATAATCTATCCATCTATCTAGAAATCTATCTATCTATGACATAATATCTATCTATCTATTTATGGATAAGTGATAAAATTTATTATGGTGGACATCCATCATTAATTCTCCATTGAAAAGAAATCTAAGATCTTTCTATCTATATATCTATCTATCTATATATCTATCTATCTACAAAGAATTATCTATCTCAAATGTTTCTGATATATCTATCCATCTATCTATATCCATCTATCTATCATTCAAAATTTCTATCTATCTATCTATCTATCCATAAGATTGTTGATTATCTATTCTATCTATCATCTATCTATCTATCTATCTATCTATCTATTGTATCTATCTATCTATCATATCTATCTATCTATCTAAAGAATCTATCAAATCTATTCTATCTATCTATCTATCTAAGAGTCTGTTTACATCCCTGAGTCTAATTTGTATCTGATATTCATTCATCTATCTATCTATCTATCTATATATATCTATCTATCTATATCTAAATATAGGGAAATATACAAGATTCATAATAATTAATATGGATAGAAAAACAGAAAAAATTTTTTAATTTAATCGAAATAAAAAATGATTGATGCATTTTAATTTGAAAAAAAGTATTAATACAAAAAAATTTAAGATTTTAAAACTTTTAAATTGCCTTAATACTCTAAATTATTCAAGGAGAATATTCTAGAATGTTCCAATAATATTATCTGTAGTTATTTTTAGCCTAAACGTACAAACAGAACATTCTGTAATTGATATTCGTGCAAGAAGGTTATCATCCTGACACAAGATAAAGAGACATATTCGTAAAAATAACTGAGTGTTATACTCTGGGAAGAATGTAAAATTTAGAGGAAAATCTCAGACAATTTGAATATTTCATTTACTACCATTAGTTCATTCATTGTAAGGTATAAAAGACTCAAATCTGTTGAAAAGCAAAGAAGAACAGGTGCACCATGAAAGATTTCTTCAAGATCTTCAAGGAAATTAATACGTCAAATTAAACAAAATCTAATGGTTACTGATCAAGAGCTTCAGGATGATTTGCTTTCATCAGAAATCTATGTCACTAAATGTTGTGGTACGATCCACCTAATTTACATAATTGAGTACCGACCATATAAATATGGTTGGTACCGGGAAGACGAGGAAGTAATAATAAGATCCAATCCAGAACTCTGCCCGACATGCGATTAAGTCAACCCATTATACAGGAACAGTCTTCCCAAGAATATACCAAAACTAACTGTAAATATTGTGTACCTTTTCCTTGTTTCAATACATTTTGTTTACGTACATTTTGTGTTGTATTATTATTATTATTCCAAGCTTATCCAAGCTTCAACACTTCAACAGAAAATAAACAATGAAACTCATAGAAACAATCTAAACTCACCCTCCCCTCGGAAAACTCCACTGTTTTTGAAAAGGCACAGAGATACCAGATTGAAATTCATTCTCGAACATAAGAACAGGGAAAAATCCTATTGGGAAAGAGTATTATGGACAGACGAAAGTAAAACTGACGTAATTTTAGATAACATATATGAAAGAAAGATGGCGATGCCTTCAAACAAAAGAACACAGTTCCAAAAGTGAAATTCTGTGGAGACTGCATCATGATTTGGGGATGTTTTTCTGCAAAAGGTGCAGGTAACATATCAGTAATAGATAGTAGACTGAATGCCACAGCATATCAAAATATTTTGGAAGCAAATTTAATCATTTCAGGTGAACCTTCTTCTGACTGGATCTTCAAAGAAGATAATGATCTTAAGCACACTGGAAAATCTACGCAGAATTTGTTTGCTGAAAATAATATAAATATCCTGAAATGGTCCAGTCAGTCGACAGATTTAAACCCAATCAAGAATCTGTGGCGTTATTTGAAAATTCCGATCCAATCAAGAGCTCCCAAAAAACATTCCGAATCTGAAGACATAAACGAAGAAGAACGGAACGAAATAGCAAGTAAAATTTTCAAATCATCAATTGAGAGCTACAAGAAGAAGTTGGTTGCTTTAGAAGTGAATAATAGCCATTCTACTAAGTGTTAAATGAAGAATATGTATTCTTTTGTGTATTGTACGAATATTTTTCACTCATTAAAATGGATAAATGGGATTTATTTCTATTATTTATTTTTTTTCTGTTTTCTATGCATATTTAGTTATCATGCATCTGTGTAAAGTTAATTATATAAAAAGTATGTTTATTCCTTAGTTGGGAATACAGTAAATTAATAATTTGTATGTGCACGAATATTTGTCGCCACTATATATATATATATATATATATATATATATATATAAATGACGATATTTCTTTAGGTGATTTTTTAATAGGTTTGTCTGGCTCTAAAGGTTCATATATTACACACATATATATATATATATATATAATATATATATATATAACAATTTACGCACTAAAATGGATAAATGGGATTTATTTTGATCATATCAAATTTTTTTCTGTTTTCTATAAATATTTAGTTATTGATGTCTGTGTAAAGATAATTATCAAAAACGTATGTATTATACATTAGATTAAATATGCATTTAAATGAAAAAATTTGTATATATAACGAATATTTCAAGATAGAAATTCCCTCACTATATATATATATATATATATATATATATATTTATATATATTAATAGATAGCTATGAAAAGATTGACATATATTAGCAGAGAATGTGATAAATAAATAGATGTATAGATATTAACAGAATGTGACAGACAAATAGATAGATAGAAAGATATGAACAGAATGTGATAGATTGATAGATAAGTAGATATGAACAAAATGTGATTGTAAAGATTTTTAACAGAATTTGATAGATATGAACAGAATGTGATATATATATATATATATATATATATATATATATATATATATATATATATACACATATATATGTGTGTTAGAGATAGATAGATAGATAAATATGAAAATAACGTGATAGATAAAACATATATATATATATATATATATATATATAGATCGATAGAAAGATAGATATGAACAGAATGTGATATATACATAGACCTATAGATATTAACAGAATGTGATAGGTAAATAGATAGATAGATAAGTAGATAGACAGATAGATATTAAAAGAATGTAATAGATGAATAGATATGAACTGTATTTGATAGATAGATAGATAGATAGATAGATAGATAGATAGAAATGCACAGACCGATAATATTATATATATATATATATATATATATATATAGATAGATAGATAGATAGATAGATAGAGATAAAAAATTGAGATTTAAATCTCTCGCTATAGAATGACAAGCCAGCTCTACTGAATCGACTGTAGATTAGTAGCGATCGATTAGTTTACGAGATCATGTAATTGATAATAACAAGCATTCTGCTTTGAATTTCCCTTCAAAAAACACTCACCGCCTATTTTCGCGATTATCCCTTCTTGTATGTGTTCTAATATCGTGTTCTTATAAGGGTCCATCGATAACCTTTGGAACACCAGTGACACCGGGGCAGCATCACAACATAGGCTGGAGACGTTTGGATAATGTATTGATGGGGTCGATCAGGGCAGTCAGACACGTAATTTAACGACATGGCACTGGAGATCAAATATCATTTCCGAATAGAAATACAACAGAATCAGTTGATAGCTATTTGTGAGTCGTATAAACTTACTGTCAGCGCCAAGAATAAACTTCCTCTTTGGTATAAAGCTAAACCACATCACTCAGCAAGGCCTCTAATCAGGAGGTTTTGACCGTCCTGGGTATGACGATAAACTACGTCCGCGCGTCCTGGGTAAAAAGAACGTTAAATAAACATCCAACATAAATATATCTGATCAGGAGGTTTTGAGGAGCGTAGAACCACCTCTTAAGATTTATGTTAAATATATCCAGTTTATGACACGGGATGGTAGAAAAATATTTAAAGAAGGGTCCCAGCTATTGGAAAAATTAGTATTGAATTGTTTTTTTTATGTATCCGCGTCCTTGTTATGATGATAAAAAAACAAATTACCCTAAACAAAATATAAGAACATCAGCGTCCTGCGTAAGACGATAGACTACATCTGCGTCCATGGTAAGACTTTTTAAACTATGTCCAACAGCGAAAGGCCTTTGTTTTAGGAAGTTTTAAAAAAAAAATATCTTAATTGCTGGTGTTTCCAAAAATGTTTTGGGGTGGTAGCACCTGATTCAGAGGAAAGTTATGGGCAAACAAAAATCAACAAAATGTGTAAAGAGTTTTTTTAATACCAGCAAATGTTGAAGGAAAAAAAATCAACAATACTTTAAAAAAATATTTAAACTGCGATACATTTTTTGAAAAAATATGTCCACCTATAGATTTCTTCAAGGAAGAATATTCCCAGAAATCGATTTTTGTAGAAAAACATTACAAACAATAAAAATGTTGTCGGCATTAAATAACCCATTGAGGTTGATATGCCGTAAAACAAACCAAACCAAACCAAACCACACTTTGTGGCTTTTAATAAATGTCCTCTTTCTTTAATTTATCATGGGTACAACGATCTGGATAAGACGATAAACTACGTCCAGCAGCAAGGCCTCTGACCAGAAGGTTTTGAGGAGCGTAGAACCACTTCTTAATCGGAGTGGTAGCACCTGTTAGGGTCCCAGCTATGGGCAAATAGTTCATACCCAAACGGTTCAAAACACTATGAAAGTTTGGGAATAGATTTTTGTAGTAAAGCTATTCACAATACATTTTTGCAAAAAAAAAAAATATGGGAAGTAATACATTTCTCTATAAAAGAAAAAATAAAAAAATACCATCAATAGATTTGACTCTCCACAAAAACCGTCTTTACAAAAATATGTCAATAAAACCTGATCTACAAACTGATTTTTTACAAATAATACATATTGCATTCATACGAACCTATCCTTAACGTCTTGTCAGCATTAAATAACCCATTGATGTGTTGATCTATCGTAAAAGAAAATAAACCCAAATCCTGATCTACAAATTGATTTCTTGCAAAGAATACATATTCTATTCGTACGAACCTATCCGTAAACTCTTGTCTGCAATAAATAACCCATTGAGATGTTGATATGCCGTAAATGAAAACAAACCAAACCAAACGAAGAATAAACTTGTTCAGTAAAGAGTCGGGACAGCAGAATTTAAAGCAATAATGAATTAAAAAAATCTTTTTTTTAAATTACTAGGTGCATGGTTTAAGAATGATTTATAAAATGAAATTTAAAATTATTTATTTTTAAATTTATTTATATATTTTTAAATTTATTTATTTATTTTTAAATTTATTTATTTATTTATTATTTATTATTATCAATAAATTATTATTATTTATTAATTATTATTAGTATTTCTGATTTATTTATTATCTGTTTATTTATTTATTTATTTTTTAAACAATAATAAAGAATTTTTTTAAAAAAATTACTAGTTGTGTCGTTTAAGAATGATGTAAGAAAAGAAATTTAAATTTAAATATTTATTTTTTAGAAAAATAACAAAATGTTATTTAATAAATCCTGATTTAGCCCATTTGTTGCAGTCTCGATCAGTGGCGGACTTGACAGAGTGCCATCTTGCCCTATTGCAAGTAATCCCCCTAATGGAGTGGGCTGTTGCTGGAATGTCAATTTATATCAAATAAAAATACAATGAAGAACCAAACATAGATGTTTTGGTAATAAAAACTTTGTAAAGTCATTTGGACAGTATCAAATACTAATGTCTAATATGTGAGAACATTTTTAAAGCTTTATATCATAAAGACAAGATTAAGAAATTAGCTATTTGAAAATCATTTGGAATCATACAATTTGATTAGTGCAGCATTCAGTGCTAGAATTTGCTATGCATTTAAAAAAAACTGTTAAAATGAATTGGATACAGAATCAATTTTTGGCAGATTTTCACAATCATCAAGTGAACACGATTGTTCTTAATAGAAAGGACTGCATGCAATTCCCTGTTGTGATTTTGAATTATCTGAAAATCATTTGGAATCATACATGTTGTTATCCATTGAAAATGAATTGTTAGATGAATTTGATGGAAAAGCAATTATTGGCAGATTCCCACAATCATCAAGAGAACACGATTCCTCTTAAATGAGAGGACTGCATCGAATGAACTATTGTGCTTTTGAGCTATGTGTTAATTTGTAAATTGTGGGGTAAACTAGTTAGAAATATCAGCAAATGATATAAAATTAAAAAGAAATTTCAATTATAACATTCTGTATTTGTCTTTGGTATCTATTGCATCCGAGAGCACGATTCAACCAGGTTTGATTTCCACGAAGATCATACAAAGGCTGACTGTAGAAAGGTAAAAGGAACGCATGTCAATCTCCAAAAGGCATGAACCTTGGACAAAGGAACACTGAAGAAACACTGCGTTCTTTGATTATGTAGCAAATTTTTGTACGTCTGTATTATTCCAAAAGACGTCAAGGAAAGAGAAGATAAGAAATATATAATGAAAAATATGTCTTACAAACGAGGAAATGAAATATTAGGTTGGTGCAGAAATAATGACGTAAGAATGTCGTTTTTTGACGTAGAAAAGTACGTCAAAAACGACATTATTACGTCATTATTTTTGCACCAACCTAATAATTTGCTTTGTTTTTTCTTGTGCCCTGGCATAAGTAAAAATGGTTAAAATTATCTGGAACTGTTGCATTATAAAAGAGAGCATGCACCTGCTTAGTTGCAGAAGCTTTATGCATCATAGTGCACGATGCCACAAAGCACCCGGTATTTTTTTAGCGATGAGCCATCTAGGGAGTGACCAGGTTCGACATTGCTTAACTTCAGTTAGCGGACGAGAATTGGTTTTTCAACGCCATTGGCCGTAAGCCGTTGTCTGAGGAGAATTTAGAATCATAGAATTTGCTATGCATTTAAAAGGAACTATTAAATGAATTGGATACAGAATTAATTTTTGGCAGATTTTCACAATCATCTAATGAACACGGTTGCCCTTAATATATAGGAATGCATGCTCTTCTCTCTTGTGCTTTTAGACTATCTGTTAATGTGTAAATTGTTAACTACAATAATCGAAATCATTATTATCATCCTTTGACCTTTGTGAGGCTGGTCCAAACTTCATTCACAATCTCTTTCCGCAATCTTCAGTCCTGTATTGCTGTCTCTAGGTCCCCAATGTCCAAACCTGACTCCCGATCTATGGTCTCTGGGAAAGTCAATTTTCGAGAGAAAACACTTCCAGAAGGATGTCATAGGAGAAAGGATGGAATGATTGTCAAAGATTGTGTGTTTATAAACCGTAATTCGGACTTTGCTAACTAGACGCTTCTCTGTAGCTTAATGGTACAGCACGCCGGGTTAAATAACGGTCTCCGCATAGGGATACATGATCGATTCCTATCGGAGAACGCATATTTTCGACGAAATTTATATATATATATTATATTATATTTATATATATATATATTATTTTAAAATAAATGTCTTAAAATAATTGTCGGACTTTGTCCATTTCATAATGTGTGACGTCATTTGTTTACATTTGGATACGCCACGAGCAGATATGAATGTACGTGAGAAAATCATTGAAAATTGTAGTTTAAAAACAGTAAAATCTAAAATCGACTTTGCTAACCGAAACGCTCCTCTGTGGCCAAATCGGTTAAAGGCACGTCAGGCTATCTGACGGTTCCGTATACATACAGGTTCGATTCCTGTCGGAGGACGAATATTTCTATGACAATTTCTCGGATATTCAGGCCGGTAAATATTGTTTAATACTGTTTATTATAAACAGATCATTTACTTAAATATTTGTATTTATAAAAAAATGTATAAACATAAAAATTGTCTTAATGATATATATATATATATATATATATATATATATATATATATATATATATATATGTGTGTGTGTGTGTGTGTATTCTTCTTCATGTGTGACAGTGACTCTGGTAAACTTTAATAAAAGCATCCGTTGAGCTTCAATACCAGGAAATTTCACAGTACATATCTTCTATCTGACGTATACATCCATGGCGGGAGCGATCGTGGCTCTCCACAATGTCTTGTTCATTGCATCTTTTGTTTCTTTTTGCTGTCTCTGTTGTGCCAACCATTTTACACCAGCACGTCAGGTAGGTAAAGGTCTACTTTCCTCTGACCCACTTGCATTCAATATCTCGTGTGGGTTTTCCTTCCCGTTCGCGTCAAGTTCCCCTTAAAATCCCTCTTAGAATATCATTTTGACTCAAGGCTCTTCTTCATCTGTAAGAAAATAGTCCAGCATCTAGTGCTATATTGGAGGACCGATATTATATCACACTTCAGTACTCTTTTATTTTTATTTCTAAAGAAAATGTCTTGTTCTTAATTGCTTAGCTTCTGAAAAGCATCTTTTGTTTTCCCAGAGCGCCTTCAGATTTCGATGTCGCTGTTATTATGTCCTAGACTACCCGTGAACCATTGGGCCACTGAGGTTTCAGGCAATAAAACATTGAAGTTGATTTCAACATTAAAAATTTGCCTGTTTGAAGAAAATTGAAATTTAAAAAAAAATACTTACTGCATAAACAACTCGTACTTTTAAATCTTATTCACTTAAAATTTTCTTAAAATCAGATTAACCTATAAATATATTTGAATATGCCAAACAATATGTTTAAATATTTAAAATATTGTTTGTTTAAAGAAAGCTGAAATATAAATAATTACTCTACAAACAACTGGAAGAAACAGCAAAGCGGGATCTCTTTGTGGCTGTCTTTAACTTAAAAATATTTTAATTAAAAAAATAGTCTGTTTGAAGAAAGTTAAAATAAAAATTAATTACTGTATAAGCAATATGTATATTAAAATCTTATTCACTTAAATTAGAGTAACTTATGCGCCGGACGGACGCACCACGCAAGGTGGAAAAAGAGAGAGAGGTGGAAAGAGAGAGAGATGGAAAGAAAGAGAGAGTTGGAAAGAGTGAGGTGGAAAGAGAGAGAGGTGGAAAGAGAGAGAGAGGTGGAAAGAGAGAGAGAGGTGGAAAGAGTGAGGTGGAAAGAGAGAGAAAGAGGTGGAAGGAGAAAGAGGTGGAAAGAGACAGAGGTGGAAAGAGAGAGAGAGATAGAAAAAAACGTAAATCATTATGCGCCGGTCGTACGCACCATGCAATCACGCACAGAGAGAGGTGAAAAGAGAGAAGTGAAAAGGGAGAGAAGTTAAGAGAGAGAGGTGGAAAGAAGGAGAGGTAGAAAGTGAGAAGTGGAAAGAGAGAGACAGGTCGAAAGAGAGAGGTTGAAAGAGAGAGGTTGAGAGTGAGAGAGAGATAGGTTGAAAGAGTAAGAAGTGGAAGGAGAAAGATGGAAAGGAACTTAAATCATTATGAGAGATGGAAAGAGAGAGAGAGAGAGAGAAGTGGAAAGAGAGTGAGGTTGAAAGAAACTTAAATCATTATGCACCGGACGGACGGGCGCACCATGCAAGCACGCACACAATCAAAGAGAGTTGGAAAGAGAGAGAAAGGTGGAAAGAGAGAGAAGAATAAAGAGAAAGAAGTAGAAAGAGATAGAGAAATTGATAAGAGAGAGGGGTCCAGAGATAGAGAGAGTCACCTTTTGGATGAGAGAGAGAAGAATAAAGAGAAAGAAGTAGAAAGAGATAGAGAGAGGGAGGTAGAGATAGAGGGAGAGAGGTGGAAGGAGAGAGGGGGAAAGACACTTAAATTATTATACACCGTTCGGACGACGCACTACACAAGCCTAAATCATAGACGTTTAGAATTATATGGCTATGTACCTAACCGTATAAAGACTTTTATAGACAGTCTGTATATAGTGATGCCAAATAAATTTTTGTTTTATCAGACTTTTATTTGATATTTTCATTTTATGGTCTGCTACCAAATTTTTTCATGAGGCTGAACATCAGCCGATCGTTTTAAAATCATATTGAGTCGTATATATATATTTATATATATATATATATATATATATATATATATATATATATATATACTGAGGAACATCATTAAATAAGCTACTTATGTAAAGAAATATTATTTCACCGTTTACTTTCACCTACGTTTGTATTTCAGCGTATCTAAAACAAAAGTGAAGGGGATGAGAGCAAGTGTGCAATTTTATTAACGACACATTTCACTAGAAACGTAAGCTTTCACTTTGGCCCCCCAGGTTAAAATGAAGAAAAAAAGAACAAGTTATGTGTGAGGAAAATGACTGGCAATCTCTAGGAAAGTTGGGAATCATAACATAAATTAAAATACCTTAGATTATCACCTTCTTTATTTTACTGTAGGATTTTAAATCATATATATATATATATATATATATATATATATATATATATATATATAAATGTGGAAAATATATAGAAAATAGGAAAGAACTCGTTAGGTACATAACCCAAAGTTCTTCAGTATTTTTGTTATTATTTTTAAAAAATAGTGCTCGATACAAACGTAGAGCATAAATATTATGTAGCGTTGGAATGATATTTTTATATAAATAATCATATATATATATATATATATATATATATATTATCAACAGAGCATTTACTTAAATATTTGTATCTATAAAAAGAATGTTAAATATAAAAATGTCTTAATATAATTGTCGGAATTTGTCCATTTCATAATGTGTGACGTCATTTGTTTACATTTCGATACGCCATGAGCAGATATGAATGTACGTGAGAGATTCATGGAAGATTGAAGTTTAAAGACAGTAAATTCGACCTCGCTAACCGAACGCTCCTCTGTGGCCAAATCGGTTAAAGGCACGTCAAGCTAAATGACGGTTCCGTATAGGATACAGGTTCGAATCCTGTCGGGGGAAGAATATTTTCTCTGAAAATTTCTCGGACATTCAGGCCGGTAAATGTTGTTTAATACTGTTTATTATAAACAGAGCATTTACTTAAATATTTGTATCTATGAAAAAAATGTATAAACATAAAAATGTCTTAAAAAATATATATAACTTGGAGAAGTTAATCTAAATAACTACAAATCCCAAATATATATATATATATATATATATATATATATATATATATATATATATATATATATAATGTGTGTGTGTGTGTGTGAAATGTATTTGCACAATAGCATTTGAGTTTCTGTCCTGCGTGGTACCTAACAGGCGACCTAAGTGACTGGTAATTAAATAATCTTTAATAAAATTTCAAAAGCAAAGTGTAGGGAGGAGGAGAAATGACTTGTGGTTTTGTTGTGATCAACTAATTAAATGTCAGGTCTACGCTAAAAAGAAAATTAAAGTCAGAGTATAAAAGTGGGGGAGTTATTTTTATGACATGATAAACCGGAACTTAGAGAGTTCATCAATGACAATTGCAGAAAACATGTAAGCCACAAATGTATTGTGATTGTAGAGAAATATGACATGTTCAATATTTCAAAGGGCGCTCAGGGGAGGGTTAGAAGGGTAATCAGGCACAAAGTTCATTTCAACAGAATTTAAAAAAAAAAAAAAGTAAGCTTCTTAAAGGAACCTGTAGATAAAATTAAAAATATGGAATATCTATATAAGATATAAATAATACTACCCGGACGGAAATACATAGTAATACTAAATCTGAATAAAGAAAATAAAATAATTACCCGTAGAGGGTGGACCATTATTTACTTATAAATAATCGCCATAAGAAATGGTACGACCTAATTTTGAAAAAAAAATAACTATATGTAAGATAAAAATAAAATGTGTCGGCAATTTACAGTTAATTCCCTTCTTTGATTAATAGAGATTTTTTGTCAGCAACTTCGATAACTTCTAGTTTCGCATTGTAAAGCGCTTTCCGTGTTTTCTTTCCATCTTCCCCTCTCCGTCTCTCACTTTCCTTTAGTTTCTTTCTCTCTCTATTTTTCTCTACCCTATATATCCCTCTATATATATTTCTTATAGAAATATATATATCCAATCTTCTCATCTTTTGTTTCTTTCTATCCATATTCTCGTCTCTTATATATATATTTTTCTCCCTCTTTTGCTTTTTAAATATTCTCCGATATTCCTCCCTGCTCTTCCTTCTCCTTGATTTTTCCTCTCCCTCTTTTATATCCTCCTTTTTAAACCTTTCCTCTCCCTCTTTCGCTCTCCTCTCCCTCTTTTACTCTCCTCTATATATATTTATATTTATATATCTATTTAATTCTTTCTATAAATTTTCCTTTCCTCTCACTTTTTCACTCTCCTCTCCCTCTTTTACTCTCCTCTCCCTCTTTCCTTTCCTATATATTTTAGTCTTCTCTCCATTTCCTTTTCCTCTCCCTTTTCATTTCTCCTCTCCCTCTTTCCTTTCCTGTAAAGATTATATCTCCTCTCCTCATTTCTGCTTTCCTATATATATCACTTATTTCTCCCCTCTTTCCTTTCCTCTCCTTTTTTTCTCTCCTCTCCCTCTTTTTTTCTTCTATATTTTTATACTCCTCTCCTCTTTCCTTTCAATCCCTCTTTCGCTCTCATTCCATCTTTCCTTTCCTCTCCCTCTTAAACTCCTCTCCCATTTCTCTCTTTCTTCCTCTTTCCTTTCCTCTCCCTCTTTTAAACCTCTCCCTCATCTAAACACTCCCTTTTCACTCTCCTCTTCCTCTTTTAACCTCTCCCTCTTTCTCTCTCCTCTCCCTTGCACTTTTCCTCTCCCTCTTTCCTTTCCTCTCCTTTTCTCTCTCCTCTCCCTCTTTCGCTTTCCTCTCCCTCTTTCGCTCTCCTCTCCCTCTTTCGCTTTCCTCTCCCTTTTTCACTCTCCTCTCCCTCTTTCGCTTTCCTCTCCCTCTTTCTCTCTCCTCTCCCTCTTTCTCTCTCCTCTCCCTCTTTCACTCCCCTCTCCCTCTTTCGCTTTCCTCTCCAACACTTTCTGTTTTCCACATTCATGCTCGTCTGTCCATCAATTTCTGCTACACTCACTTCCTCCTTATGTACTCCTCCCCCTATCTCTCATAACTTCTCGTTAGCCCTCCTCCTCATGCCTCTCTAGTTTTCCTCTATATCTCTCCGCCCCCTCTCTCTCTCTTTCCCTCTTCTCCGCCAATTTTTTCTCCTCAATCTCTTTTTTTTTTCTTCATTTCTGCTCCTCCCTCTTTCACTCTCATCCATCACTTTCTGCTAAACTCTCTATCTTATCCGCCGCCCCATCTTTTCTATCTATCTCCTCCCCTTCTCTTCCAGTTTCTCACTGTCGCTCTTCCATTTTGTCCCCCCTCTCTATCGCTTTTCTGTTCTTCTCTATTTTTTTTCCTCACTGTCTCTTTTCCACCTTCTATCTTTCCTTCTATTCTACTATCAGTTGGTCAGTCTCTCCTCTCTCAGTTCATTGCAAAAATCCTCCTTTCCATTTCTTTCTAATTTTCCCTCTCTCTCCCTTCCCTCTATTAACCTCCTGTTCATCTCTCTCTATCCCCCCCTCTCCATCTCTTTCTGCTACACACGCTAGAAAACCCTTCTTCTCCCTACTATATCTTCTTTACCATCATTTTCCTCCACCTCTTTATATGAAAAAATTTCTCTCTTTCACTCGTCCTCCTCTCTGTTATTTCTTAATTATTCTCCTCTCCGTCTCTTTTTCACTTTTTCTCAAGCCATCCTCTTTATCATTTTCAGCTCTCTCTCTGCTCCTTCAAAGAACTAACCAAAGAAAATTCTTTCGTTCACCCCTCATGATATTTCTCCCCCTCTCAAGCCCTCCTCTCCATCACTCTCAGCTCCTCTCTCTCTTTTAATTCTTTAATTTGACCTCCCCTCAACATACTTCTTTCGTTCTCCCCCTCTGTCGCTTTCCCCCCCTCTGAAGTAATTCCCTCCTCAAAAAAAAGATCCACAGCTCCTCTCTTTCTCTGTTCTTTGAATTAATAGCAATACTTCTAAAATTCAAAATTTGCTCCTTTAAAAATTTCCCCCCCTCTCAATCCTGACATATTAGAAGACCTCTCAGCTCCTCTCTTTCTAGAATTGTTTTCTCCATGAGACAATTATGCCTTATTTCACCTCTGTCTCTCTCGCCCTTTCCTCTATTCATTCTGTTCATCTCTCTCTCCCTCTCTCTCTCTCGCTTTTCTCCCCATCTTTTTGCTCCTCTCTCTTGCCCTTTCTCTGCTACAGTCTCTCACTCTCTCAACCCTCACCCCATCTAACCCTACTCCTCTCCGTCACCCTCCTCTTCAAGTATCCTTTTTGGGTAAAAACTAAACCCAAACTCTCTTAATTTTCGTTTCCTCTCTGTCTCTTTAGAATTTAATCTCTCAAAGAGATATCATCTAGATTTTCTTAGTACTTCTCTTTCTTTGTTCCCTTCTCGTCCTTCTCTTTCTGGCACAGCACCCCTCAAACCATTTGTTTTTCTCTCTCTTTCTCCTTCTCTCTTTTTCTATATACAACTCTATCACAACATTCCTTTCTTCATGAATATAAATAAATTCTGAATTTATATAAAAGAACATCCATTAACCTTTTCTCTTCTCTCCTCCTCTTTATTTGTTTGAGAACTTCATCTCCCTCCCTCTAGGATGTTTCAACTTCTCTCCCTCCCTCTCTATCTGTTTACAACTTCTCTCCCTCCCTCTCTATCTGTTTACAACTTCTCTCCCTCCCTCTCTATCTGTTTAGAACTTCTCTTCCTCCCTCTCTATCTGTTTAGAACTTCTCTCCCTCATTCTCTCCATCGGTTTTCTCTCCCCAAATTACTCTGTTCATTTCTCTTTGTTCTTCTTTTACACCTACTCTCTAACAAGTTACGGCCTCTCGACATTTTTCTCTATCCCCCTCCCTTGGTATCACTATATTCATCTTTCTCTTCACACTTCCTCTCTCTGTCTGTCTCATATTGATCCTTCCGAGAGATTTCGATATCTGTTTGCAAACATGCGATTTCGCGCCATTCTTTCGATTAACCGCCATCTTGCGACCCTGCTTAATTCAGTCGAAACAAAGGGCGGCGCTAGTAGGTGGCAAGGTCAGCTATCCGTAGACCTGCACATGCCTACGTTCTTGAAACCAGTTTTTATCCGACAACGCCAGCTCATACTTGAGAAGCGCAGCCCACGCAGTCCGTCCAAGTTTTGCTCGTTTAAATTGCGGACGAAGATAGATGTATTCCGAGACCGACGGACAGGGAAGGGACACGAAGAATAATTGAGGAGGTGGGGTTATTTGACGGATTCACGCCATGCCATGGTTTGCCCAGTAGGGGGTTAGGATTCTACCTGATTGATGGAAGGGCCTCGTTCCATATTTTGAATAATAAATTTTATCTCATCGCAAGTCCTCTTGCTGTGTATAAATAAGCTATTCATTATTTGGAGAATAAAGAATTCCAATTCTCATTGGTTCAACTAACGTTTCTTCCTCGTTCAGGTGCAGCGTCTCTTAAGAGGGTAGCCGATCATGGCTCTTCACAATTTCCCGTATTTGTGGCTCTTAATAAATTTTGTTTTAACTTTCCTAAATAATGTTCCGCCATCCATCTATTTAATCTCGCTACATTGGTTGTTTATCTCTGATTCTCTTTCCCTCAATCTGTCCTGAGAGTCTCAGATTCACCAAGCCCTCTTTCCTCATTGTATTCTCTTGAAACTTCAACTCTCTCTTCCTGAGGCTAAGTATAAGTTTCATTTTTGTTTCCATTTTCTCTAAAATCTCGTCGTTGCTCACATGTTCGGTCCATGGCATCCTCAGCATCCTTCTGAAAGAAATTTCAACACTTCTTCCTGATGTCAGTATATTTCTTTTTAGTTTATTGAAAAAATTTCGTTGTTCACTTTGAATGGCATCCCAGCATTCTTCTGTAGAACCACCTTTCTGTTACTTCAAGTTTCTTCTTTGACAATATTGTTCAGCACTCACTGCCATAGACGAGTACAGATATCCCCTAACACCTTAGTATTCTTTGGTTTGTTTCCAGCAACATTCTTTTTCGTATTTCTTATTACTTTGCTTAGCTTTTGAAATGCATATTTGGCTCTCCAAAGATTTCCTATATTATTTAAATTTCCACATTTATTTGATTTCGGTATCCCCGATTTGTAATTCTCACTTTGAGTTCATGCCTTTGCTAACAACCATGCATTCTGTCTTCTTGCAGTTGATGTTTAGTCCTTTCTTCTCGCTTTCCTTCATCACTTTCTGTAAGAGGTTTTGTAGCTTTCTTTAGCCCTCTTACTTTGTATAAATTAGCGATTCATTATGGAGTGAATGAAGAAATGAAAGGCCCAATGGTTTAAATAACGAATGTACAATGTTTTTCCAGAACGTAGGCGATCATAGCTCTCCGCAATTTCCTGTACTTTGTGGATTTAATAAATGTTCTCTTTATTTAACCCGTCATGGGTACGACGATAAACTACATCCGCGTCCTGGGGAAGACAATAAACTACATCCGCGTCCTGGGTAAGACGATAAACTACGTCCAGCAGCAAGGCTTCTGATCAAGAGGTTTTGAGGAGCATGGAACCACCTGTTAATTGCTGGTGTTCCCAGGTCTACCCTGACCCGGTGTGGTAGCACCTGTTAGGGTCCTAGCTATGGGCAAATTGTTAACCCTAACCAAAACACTATGAAAGTGTAAAAATAGGTTTTAATACCAGAAATAATTTGTAAAAATCATTACCAGCAATACTTTATACCTTAATAAAAAATTAGCAGCAATACATTTTTGAAAAAAAAAAATTACTAGCAAGAAAAATCTTGTCGGCATTTTTTTAATAACCCATTGAGATTTTTTCTTTCCGTGTCCTTTCAAGACCTAGGCGATCATGGCTCTCCACCTCCTTCTATTCCTTTCAGCTCTCAACAAGTTCCTTCCCTCTTCTTCTTCCCCCAGACCAGGTTCTGTCATTGACCTACCCGAGTTCGCCAGGTATGCCACGCGCTGTTTTCCATTGTCTCTCTTTCCCTCTATTCCACCCGTGAGTATCAGATTCTCCAGGCCTTCCCTTCTCATTATGTTTCCCAGAAACAAACCAAATCAAACCATTTTTCTTTTATCTCTCCTAAATCTGAAAAAATGTGCCCCATCAAGATCTTGTGCGTCTGTGTGTCCCTTAATCCAAGACCATAGAGACACCACAGCCATTGCCGTAGTGTTACGTCTCGTGCAAGATAATCAACCCTCTTCGTTCTTGTTTTAAATTGAGAGTTTTTCTTCTCCTAGACACGTTGCCCTCTGAAATCAAGAGAGACCTGTTGACTATTCTTGCCGCAATCTCTGAATAGGGAATCCAGTGAAGTCAGTAATCTGTTCAATATCAGAGGTCGGCAGTGAAGATTCAGAGAAAGTAGCCATTGTTAAGTAATTCTTTAAGTCTTTGATATCGGGTTGGCAGTGCAGACAATTTGGGAGAAAAAAATGGCTGCCCTTATACACGTCGCATTGAATATTTTGAGCTTTCTGATTGGTTAACTGTTCTATTGGTGAACTATAAAATGAGTCAGCCCATTTAGGCTAACTCACTAGTACAGAAATACTCCCAAAACTGCAACAAGACCAGTCTGGTTGGTTATTTAAAAACATAGCTAGAGGAAGATATTTTCATGCCTTCTCGAAGGACATGTGACCGAAAGTGAACGAAACAGAATGCAGCGAGAATTGAACTCGGTATGCCAAATTCATATTCAGCTCCGAAATCTATTACACCAACCGCGCTTCCCAAGATCTTGTAAACACTTTCAAAATCCCAAACCCGACTTGACATTCATTTGTCTAGCCGCTGTTCAATTCATTCAGTTGGATAGTGTGGGTGGGAGAATCAACTTCCCCTGCTTCTGCGTCAGGTTTTCATATTGGCTTTCATCTGACAGCCACGAATTTGCGTTTCGTTTTGCAGGCTCCAAAGTTGAGAATAACTCAGACTGACTGCAAAGCTCATTGAATAATTTGAAAATTATTAAATATAACAAAATCGAATTATAGCAAGTGAGTGTGCTTGAGAGTGGAACACGATGAAAAGTTGTTGAAAATAAATCTGGGGTTAAAATCTCGTGAGATGTCAAAACATATTTCTTGATATCATCAAGATAGGATGGATACGCACTAAAATACTACAAACACACATTATATATATATATATATATATATATATATATATATATATATATATATATATATATATATATATATATAAAAGGCATGTCGGATTAAATAAATCATAGATATTACAATCAAATGATGCAAGAAATGCACCATAATAGTTATGCACGAAACAATCTGCATTAAAATTTATTTTTTTAGAGATGAAATAACTTTTTTTGTTTTTTTGGCTATCTTTTGCCAGCTGCAATGATGGAGAAAGTATTACCTCGCACAATTGACAGTGAGACACGCTGTAAGAGCCACTCCGTTTAGCGAGGCTCATCCCTTAATCGAGACGCCATCGTTCCAATCCTCTGAAAAAATATTGAAGCCGACATTGAATGACGTAATAGTGTTCTAAAATGCCTATGAAAAGATCTGTTTTCCCGCTTTAAAAAAAAATAAAAAAAAATTCCATAATGGATAATTTTTTCTAATGATCGCTGAAGTAAAATTCTCAGCCGTTGAATTTAAACGCAAAAAGAAAATAATTCAGCAATGTATAGCTACACATAGTTTTTAGGTCTAACTAACATCAGTTATCTTTATTTTGTTTGTTTTGATATTTTAGTTTTTTATTTGGGGGGGGGGTTCATCCGCCCCTTCTTATTTTATATCATATACAAATTTTTATGTATAGTATTTTATAATCATGAA